AGGGGGATGTTAACAGGGTAGAGGGATGTTAACAGGGTAGAGGGATGTTAACAGGGTAGAGGGATGTTAACAGGGTAGAGGGATGTTAACAGGGTAGAGGGAGAGAGGAGGTTAATGGGAGAGATGGGAGGTTAAGGGGATCCAGGAGAACAGAAGGTTAACGGGAGACATGGGAGGTTAACAGGAGAAAGAAGGGATGTGGGCATCAGGTAAAGCAGTACCGTGGGAGCAACCAGTGAAGATGCTCAGCCCTCCCTCCCAAAATCCATTCTAGAACACCGACATTCCCATGGGAGGGAACCCAGAAAACGCTCAGCCCTCCCTCCCCAAAATCAGCTCTGGAAAACTCCACATTAAAACTCCCACTGACATTCCCATGGGAGGGATCCCAGAAGATGCTCAGCCCTCTCTCCCCAGAATCTGCCTAGAAAACTCCACAGTACAACTCTCACCAACAATCCCATGGGAGGGAGCCCTGAAGATGCTCAGCTCTCCCTTCCCAAAACCCACTCTAGAAAACTCCCCAGTAAAACTCCCACTGACATTCCCACGGGAGGGACCCCAGAAGATGCTGCAGCCCTCCCTCCCCAAAACCTGCTCCAGAATCCACAGCAAAATTCCCACCAACATTCCCATGGGAACAGCAGCAAGCCCTGCTCCTCCAGGGGGGCGATTTATGGCTAAACCCCAACATTTTGGGCAATTCCAGGTGCCTGCTGGGATATCCAGGTGGATCCAAATGCCTCCCACATCCCTGTTCCCACGGACGCCCACCTGTGGGGTTGCCCTCAGGTACAGGAAGCCATGCAGGGTGGCACGGGGGCCCAGGTGCTGCAGCAGGAAGCCGTGCCAGTCCTGGTAAATGGCCCATTCCAGAGGATTCAGGTGCCCAACCTCAAAGAGGCTCTTGGCAAAGATGTACCTGGAAGGGACGGGGAGAGGGGACCGTTGGCAGCAGGATCTCCAAGTCATCCCCGCGCCCAGGGGGCTTCACAGACATTCTTCCACCTTTTATCCACCAATCAGGAATTGCAGGTGGTTAAATTAGGGCGAAAATCCCTAATTTGGGACTGGAATGTGCAGTGTCCAGCACAGTTCAGCCCCACCGAGCTCAGCACCACCCACAGGGCTTCACACTGCCACCAAACACAGGTGAGGGTGGGGTAGATGAGACATCAGACACAGATGAGGATGGAACCCCCCAAAAATTACCCAGAGGATACAGAAACCCCCAAATTACCCAAGAATCACATTCCTGTAGTTAAGCATCGCTCCAGGTGTCAACAGGGATGGCGGCTCTGCCCACCCTGGGGGTCCCAGGCTCCCAACCCAACTGCTGTGTGTGCCCCATATCCCACTTAATCCCTTCATCCCTCCTCCCTCCCGTTTTTTGGGTACCTGTCGCTGTACACGGAGCGCTCGAAGACCCTCACGGGGTGGGGGGTCCCGGGGGGCTCCTCTGGCAGCTCCAGCATCGCCTTCAGCCGGCTCATGCAGGAGAAGGTCTGGAAGGTGTAGGACCACCGGGCCGGCTCCTGGTACATCATCTGGAGGAGGTTGGTGGAGCCCGGGGATTCCTACAGAGGGAGAGCTGCGGGATGAGGGCTGGGGGCCCAGTGGCTCTGCTCCCCCTGCCAAGGGGTGGGGCTGGCTCCGGACCCCCCGGGCTGTGCTGGGGCAGGGGGGCCAGGGGACAGGACCCACTGACCCGGCCTGTGATCAGAACAGTGATGGAGCCACCTTCAGTACTTCTCTGTGCCACCTCCAGTCCCCTCTCCAAATTAAGTTTGCATTGAGCAGAAAGGGAAGGAAAAGTTGGAGTGGTCAGCACGTCTCCTTTGAGCTCCCCCCTGTAAGTGTCCCAGCACATGGTAAAGATTTAGCAATGTACCACCAGGGACAAAGCTGGGCTAGCAACTAGAGCAGGGATCAGCAATCTTCCCAGGGTTTTCCAAACTGCTCTGCTTTTCAACCAGAGCAGAGGTGACACCTGCTAATGAGCAGGATCTTGCCTTGGCTCTGGCTTCAGGCAGAACTGCCCAGGAACTGAGGGTCCCTCTGGAAATGTCCTCCTGGACTTGCTAAAAGACGCTCAAACACATCCACACCAACATGTCTCTGCTCTGGGGACCAGAGCTGGAGGCAGAGAATCAGCACCATGGGAGTCCAGGCTCATCCCAAATCCTCCTGGGGAGGGTAGAGAGCCAGGGCACCCACAGTGTGGGGCTGGGATTCGGACTCACAGCTTCTGGCCTGGCTCAGGCTGAGGATTTGGGGAATTGAGGGGCTTTGGGACACCAAAAGCCCAAAAATGGGGGCGGAGAGAGAGAAAACCACAGGGAAAGGCATCTCCAAACACGGAATTCCAGAGATCCCAGGGAGCTGAGGCCGGGAGGAGGTGATGCACTGACCCAGGGCCTTCCCAGCAGTGCCAAATTCCCACCCCAGCTGCGGGGTGTCCCCACGGCAGAGCTTCCACACCCACCTCCCCAGGGTGCCAGGATGGAGCCGGGATGGAGCTGGGATGAAGCTGGAGCTGCTGTTACCTGGGCAGTGCCCCCGGCCGGCACCCTCCGCCACTGTGCCACGGGCTCTGTCACCAGGTGCCATCGCGGGAAGGTGGCTCCCAGCAGCTTCAGGAAGGTCGATTTCCCCACGGCTGTGGGAGGGGGGAGGAGAGAAGGGTGAGCCTGGGTATCCATCCCTTCCTGGCTCCTGGGATGTGGGGTGAGTTTGGGTGTTCCTTCGTCCCAGCTCCCAGTAAGGCAGGGTGAGCC